ACGATTATTCAGAATTTGGATTTGTCGTATGTAGCTAATTTACAAGACACTATTCCCTTACCATCCAATAGTAAATAGTATGCTTGTAAGTCTTAGAAATTTATAGGATTCAATCCAAGCCTTTGGTTAATTCTATACCTATACAGGGTAATTGCATCAAACACTAAGTCTCAAGGTGCTTTTAAAGCCCTTTGATTATATTGATCTTACTCCCACACTTCTAAAGTTTTACTGAGTAATGAATTCTCTTATAAGGCACTTGTAAAGTCCTTTGAGTATTCTTGATCAATCATTCTCATGAAGCCCTTCTAAAGTCATCTAAGATTCTCAGTTCTAGTTTTTTCTAATCTCTATGGTCATCGAGTTCATTTTCCTCCCACTTGTCATTTTGGAAATGTGTTATTTTTCAGAAAGACACCACTTAGAGCAACAAACACTATGTTCTCAATCAGGTTGTGGAAGCAATGCCCGTAGTCTCACTTGAATGCTTACAAAGAGACATGTATATTGTCTTTGGGTAAAAGTTTGTTGTGAAACAAACAATTAGCTCCCACTCGAGTTACCTTACCCCTTATTAAGCCACTTAGCTCCCACTAAGCTAATGAACTCCTACTGAGCTAAGAACCCTAAACATATACTTGAAAGACGCTAGAAATTATTTCTATCCATAACTAAATGGAAAAATTGCCCGCAATAATCCCACCTTTGGGCCGTCCGCTAATAATAATCCGACCTTTGGATTATTTTTAAATAATCCCACCTTTATACCTCTTCCGCTTTAAATGGTCCTAACCGGTCACATAACTTGTTATTACAAGTTACCAAACACGTGTCACTCTACGATTGGTCAAAAAATTAAAAATAAAATTAAAAAAAAAAGAATTTTTGTTTAAAAAAAAAAAAAAAAACAAAAATCAGATTCCGGCAGCCCCACCTCCCCTACCTAACTCCGGCCACCATCTCACTTCCCATACCCAATTCCGGCAGCCCTACCTCCCCTACCCAATTTTGGCCACCATCTCCCTTCCCCTCCCCGATTCTGTCCACCCCTCCCTCTCCCTCCCTGTTTCCGACCAGCCATCCCCTCTCCATCCCTGATTCCATCCACCACCTCCCTCTCCCTCCCCGATTCCGACCACCCCTCCCCTCTCCCTCCCCGATTACGACCACCCCCTCCCTCTCCCTCCCCGATTCCGACCACCCTCTCCTCCTTCTCCTTCGCAATCGCACTACCCACAAATTAGCAACAACATCACAAGCAATCTCATCGCTGCAAACACCAAACGAACCCACCATCACAATAAATCGAGCCACCCACCACAAGTGCATCAACAACCGCCGGAAGACACCACAAACCAACCTCTTCAAACGCCCACAAATTAGCTCTAAAATCGGAACCCATAACAGCAGCCCTTCATATTAGAAAGGGACGGTTTCGGTGGTGGGCGAAAAATGGGTAGAGGAGGTGGATTAAGTGATTGGGTTGGGTAGGGGAGGTGGTTTTGGTGGTGGGTCTGCCGAGAGGGTGGTCGTGGGTTTTTTTCCTTTTTTTTTATTTTTCAATTTTCTTTTTTATTTTTTGTCTTTTTTATCATTTTATATATTTTTTATTTTAATTTTTTTCCAATCACATAACAACACGTGTGCAAACAACCCCAAGTCACACATGGTAACTTGTTTAGCCGGTTTCAAGTCACTTGGGACCATTGGGAGCGGGAGAGGTATAAAGGTCGGATTATTAAAAAATAATCGATAGGTGGGATTATTTTGGGCGGATGAGGCAAAGGTCGGATTATTCCGGGCAATTTTTCTTAACTAAATATGGTGTCCTTTCTTAGCTCCGACAATTTTGTTTAGTGTAACACTAGCCGTTTGTGAAAATCTGTAAGAACATTGTAGGAAGGGATGTGCTTCATCATCATTCGAGTCATTTCCACATGGCATCGAGGTCTTCGTCAAGACATATTATATTCTTTGTGGAGCTAATTATGAATTTCCAATTTCATAACCTTGATATGATCACTCTTGGCTCAAGCAAACATCGCTCAATCTAATATAGATGTTTTGATATCTTGCCAAGTCGATTCTATACTTCACTGAACTTTTGAGCTACTCAAGATCCAGTTTGTTCACTTTTGATGAATATATTCATATTCTTTCAAATTTTTGTGAAAACGTTGAACTAATGGAATCCTCTTTAGCTTTTGGAGTCAATTGTCTATACCAAGCACAACAACTCTTTTCTTTGTCGATTTCAACAAGTAAGACTTGCTTTTCTTAGAATTATTCCAAATTTATCTACTTTCAAGAGTCTATCTAATAGAGCCTTGGGTAAGTTCTTGTCGATGTGACATTGCTAAAGATGTTCGGAACACAAATCATGTCCATGATTTGAACTTTGTAAGTTTTCATGTTAGAGAAATGTTTGTTTATAATCAAGCATCTTTGACTCATGGCTTAAACAACCATGTCATTCAAATAAAACCAACAACTATTGCTATTTTACTTTGAATGTGAGTCTTTCCATGTGTAAACGGATCGTTTGCTGATTATGGAACACAATAACCATTTATTTATTCCAGCCTTAGCTTTAAAAGGTCTTTAAACAAAGTAGATGACCTTACAACTGATGTAGCACTACTTGCTTCATTCCAAGCTTGCAAGTCAATAACTTAGCTTAACTTCAATAGTTTGAGGTCACTTTAAATGTGGAACACTCAAGCAGTATTCGATACTTGTGAAGATAATGAGTTGCTAAGTTTAACTATGATAACATGAACTCTTAGGTAGAATTGGAATCTCGTATTCGTTTCTAATGTTCCTTGTTTCCTATATTTCTTATTATAAATCATCTCATAACCTTCAAGAACTATTTCTTTAAGTGTTTTGACTTTTATACTTTTTTAGGCATAATTAAGCATCTAATGTGTCGTAACACAAAGTTCCATCTTTTCCTTTAATTCGTACTTGAAGTACTACATCAACGAGTCCTACTCATTAGTGTATGAAGTGAAAAGATATGTTGTTTGTCAACTATTGACAATTTGAGTTTTCAACTCAATACTTCATGTTTATCAAAACTACCTAGTGTTTTGAATACATGATGTCCAATCTTCCTTTCGGACTAAGCCATAGAAATCATGTATGAGAAGTTGTATTTTAGAAATGCCTTTTCTTTCCTTGAGAACCATTCTCAAAAGATTTCCTTTTACCAATCATTAGAAACATTATAATTTGATTTAGAACTCTACATATATAAGTGCAAAGTATTACCATTTATCAACATAATAAGTTTGAAATTTAAAGCATACATGCAAACTTTCAATCTTATTAAGCGTTTTATCCACACATTTAAAATTTGTCCCAATTAGGTGAGAATAAAACGATTCCAAGATCCCAAACATCAAAAGGTGATTAAGCATGCTTTGGCTTGGCTTAACACTTAATATTTTAAGGTAAGCAATCCAATTGCTAATTGCTCTAAGCTACTCTTGGTTCGATAAAACGTCGCATCTAATTCTCTCTTGACGTTTAGCTCCATTGCCACGATATCTAAGGACTCCTTACTGATATCGTTGAGTTTAACCAAAACTAACGTGTATATGATGCCTTGCTTTGGCAAGCAAACCAACATACCTTACATCCCTAGGAAAGTAGTAATGACTTGCTTTGGCATAGCCCATTACTATTCTCATTAGTTCCGTAAGTGTTATTTTGGAATGATAAATTTAACTCAATATTCTTTTGGACTTAGGGTTTCTACATTGGTTGATTTTAGTGAACTAAGCTAATCATTCAACATTCGAAATCCTAAACATGCATCTAACATCGCAATTATATATACTTCCTCCATTAAAGGTTATGTGCAACACTGTACCTTTCGCGGAGGCCTAGGCAAAAGTTTTAGTGGGTGTTTAGAGTGGGTAATTGAAAAAAGTAGCATATGATTAATTGACTTTAAAAAGAGAGAAAGGTGGTCCCGAAATTTTTCAGCAAGGAGAGAGAGTCTGCCAAAAATTTGGGGCCAAATATTTCCCACCAAAATTCGACCATTTTTTTAAAATTTCAAGTTTCTGCCAAATTTTTTTCCCTCCCTTTCAGAATTTCATTAAAGTAGGGTATTTAAAGCACCTGCCAGTCCATGTTACAAGCATTCATCACGAAATTCCTACAGAAATTTCAGTACACCATTGAATGTTAACAAAAGTTAGTAGTCAACCCTCTCCCTAATACTAAATACTCCTACTTGAACTACACCATATTCATCACATTGCAGTGGTTCAGCTTCAGCACATCACAACCCTAAAAAAACAGCCCACTTCATTAGCAACCCTGCAATCTAGGAACTCAGGTTCATTAGCAAAGGCAACATGGCAGAATATGCACATGATGAATTTTTCAGCATTGACCACATGCTGAATGATGAGAGCAGTATGGAACACAGTTAGACAAGCACCATGGGTGGGACTCAGTACAATGACAATAATGTCATACATGAAGAATCAAGCCAGCAACTAACAAGCAGAAAACAACTCACAGTTTCCAAAAAAAAGGGAAATCGTGGATGCTTATCTTTTGAAGCTAGATGGGGGGGGGGGGAATTACCGAGGGGTTTTTTATCAGAGACAGCAAGGAAGTTCAATGTGCACAAGTCAACTATTCTGAGGTTATTCAAAGACATCAAAACCCAAATGGAGGTGGGGAATGTCATAGATGTCAGAAGCAAGAAACTTGGCAAAACAGGACCCAAACCAACATAGTACATAGATGAATTTCTGCAGTCAGGCCCACTATACAAGAGGACCACTGTGAGAAGCTATGGGGCTGCTCTGAACATTTCACATGTAACCATCCATAAATTAAAGAAAAAGGGGAGGCTCAGAACACACACTAGCACAAATCATCCAGCACTCACATTCAACCACAAAATAGCAAGACTCAAATGGGTTTTAAGCCATCTATTGCTTGCAACTCACAATGGGGACCCAAAATTTGTAGACATGCAGCAGGTAGTGCACATAGATGAGAAATGGTTCTACTTGAACCCAGGGACAAGAAGATTCTACCTCCTCCCAAATGAACCAAACCCCTACATGTGCCAACAATCCAAGAGGTTCAAGGTCAAGGGGATGTTCATGGCAGCCATAGGGAAGACAATATTTGACACCCATGGAGGAGTCTTACATGATGGGAAGTATGGCGTATTTCCTTTTGTTTATGAAAGCATTGCAAAGAAAAAAAGCAAAAACAGGGATGCTGGGGTAATGGAAATAAAGGCAACACAGAATGTGAACAAGGAGGCCCTCAGGGAAATGCTACTAACTAAGGTCATTACAGGCATCAAAAGTAAATGGCCAGCCCATCTATCCAAGGATGTAAGGATTCAATGGGATAATGCCAGACCTCATCAAATTCCCAAGGATGAGGAATTTAATGAAGCCTGTCAGTCAGATGGTTTCAATATACAGTTCATTTACCAGCCACCTCAATCCCCAAATTTAAATGTGCTAGATTTAGGGTTGTTCAATGTCATACAGTTAATACAATACTAATCATTTCCTAAGAACCTAGGGGAACTCATACAAAAGGTGACAGAGGCTTATGAGTTGTTCAATCCAGTGTTGAACAAGCACTGTTGGATAACTCTACAATGTTGCATGGAAGAGATACTGAAGGACCAAGGAGGGAATAACTTCACCCCACCACACAAAGGGAAGAAAAGACTGGGCATGCTACCAGAATGCTACAAGTGGACAAGGTTGTGGTTCAACAAGCTGTTGAGTACCTCAACACAATTTTCATATCAACAGGCGAGGTCAATGATGAAGATGAAGGCATGCATGTGGATGCAGACTAAACAGAACTCAAACACAGGAGCAAGGACCAAGTCAGACTGCCACACATAACCAGTGACTAGCAAGGTAGTTAATGGAACTCATAGTTTAGGTACTATCTTTAGTTTGTATTCGGATTATTGTCTGGGACTCATTGGTTAGGTGTATTTTGTTAACACATCCATGTTTACTATCAATGTAAGGCAGTCTTGACTACTACCATTTCAACATGTAATAGCTTTTAATAACCTTTATGACTTTAATTGTGTCTGGTTTAGTTCATTTTGAACAAGTGATGATTAAATGACAGTAAGTATGATTGACATACACATAAATGAGTCCATCAGTAGGGTTATTATTTCTCACAGAATTTGCATAAGTGGTTCCCTCAACAACAACTTACAAAGGAAGTTGTTGGAGCAATACCATCTTATGAAATTTATGGATCAAATGAGTCCCTTCATCATTTGGGTCTCTCAGCCACACAAAAAACAGTAAGGGACTCTTAAATCACATGGGGACAGACATCTCATAAGGGGACTCAAAGAGGGACATGCATGTATGCCATAAGGTCATCATCATTCATCAAATGACAATACAGTACATAAACCAAATCAGGCAAACAATTTGACATAAGTCAAACATGAAACAACACTTCCAACAGGAGAAGCAACACCCACACATCAACAACACCAACCCCAGCATAACAAAAACCAGGAAAAACCAACATGTGAACAGCAATATCCAACAAACATAGCACAGGATTACCCAAGAATAGGCAGTCAATTATCCACCCATCAACATACGACAGCATGAAACAACAATCCCAGCATTTGGCAACAAAATCACACAATTCCAGTAGTAACAACCCATAAATAAACCAACAACAGACAGCAATTACTGCTCATAAGTGAGACAATTGCAAGAATAGCCAAATTATGACAATTACAAAGCAAATCAGGCTTCCAAAAATAACCAGCAAACAAAGCACAGACGTAAAGAAAATTATGAACTCATGAATAAAAAATTTCAAGGGTCAGAAAATCGTTACACTGATTCATTAGTTAGAAGCTTAGATGGAAGGGTTGCAAACCCCACCAAGTTCAACACCATCATCATCAGGGGACTCAGGTCGCTCCCTTTTCTGGCCAGATAGAACTTGGGTACCCAGATCTACCACCTCTGTTGCGGGTTTCACTGGCGAAATAGAAGCAGAAGGGGTTTCTGCACCATCTCTCTTCAAACCATCAAAATCTGGAGCCTTTTTTCTCGAACTCTCACCCTTTTCCCCTAGATCTGAAGCCTTAGACCCACCACGTTCCTCATTAGACACGTATGGGGCAAGCTTTGCACCACCACCATATGTACGCTTCATATCAAGGTAAGTTGCCATACGTGTACTAATCAACCTCATCTTCCCAGTTCGTCGCTGACACTTGTATGTCGCAACGACTTCCCTTTCTGGTGATTTCTCGTTTGGGGAACTCATAGTTTAGGGTTTTTGACAGAAAGAGGTAGTAGAGAATTGAGATCTGGAAATTTTAGGGTATTCACCAAGAGAGAGAGTGAAGGAAACAGATCTATTCTGGGAGAGGAGAGAGAGTGAGGTACGCCAGAACCAAAGCACAATTGAGGTGAGATGGTGGAATCTGGAAAATTTTCCATAGGTAAAGGGGGCTCATTAATGGAGGTAGTTGAAGGTTGCATTGAAGATGGTGGGTGAGAGGACGAACTCAATCAGACGCAATTGATGAAAATCTGGAAAGGTGAGGGGTTTTTTTGGTGGGAATCATTAGGGTTGATTACATAAGAAAAGGGGAATGACAAAGGGTTAGCAAATTAGGTTAACAATTAATCAGTTTTTAACAAGGGTATTTTCGTAAATCTGCAGGGTTAAATTTTACTAAAAACCAAAACAATCCAATTTGTTGCAAATAATAGATAGCGCCTATTTGTAGTAAATGTTGCAGATAACCGTTAACGGAGGAAGTATATATATATATATATATATATATATATATATATATATATATATATATATATATATATATATATATATAGGGCATAAATAAAGATGCATTTTGGCAACTAGCATGGCCCCTTGAAATTTGAGTCTTTAAATCTTCAAGGGCCTTCGTTGCATCTTCTTGGCTTCGTCTTCTTAGAAACGCCATCTTTGAGACATCACCACCAATTATGAAACTACTAGAAAAGCTAGGACTAATCTAAATAATTTAAGTAAAAAATCCTTAATGGCGAGCAATCCGTATTTAGATTTACAAAAATACAAAACGGAACGCAGTCCGTATTTTCTATCCTAGTCGAGCCCCACTAGTTTCCATTTTGTAAAACCTGCATTTGAATATCTATTCCATTCATCCATTCACTAACGTGAATGACCCATGCAATTTACAAATAATTCAAGCAACAATTCAAAACGAGTGCAAAACTAGTTACTAACTTAGGTGGTTAATCTAATTAACGCGCCTAATTAAAACTAGTCAAAGTTGTTATCTATTTATGTGAATTAATGCAATTATAATAGCTCAAAACGATTAATGAAGCTCCCACTAAATTCCACATCCAACTTAATTAAAATTAATCCAATTAAAGTTAATTAAGCCGGTTAACCAAAATTTTGTCAAAAATTATTTTGCAAGTGCAGAGAAAGACCGAGGCCTAGCCTCGTTTAATTAAAACAAAACCGTAAAATAATAAACGAGGAAAAAGAGTGTCTCGGGTTGTCCAAAGCTAGCAACCCCAGCCCTCGTACGCACGCAAGTTCTGGGTATTGCCTAGCAGCCTCGACCTTGTGTGCCGAGCTGCTGCTCGGCGTTGCCTGGCAGCTCGCACACCATGGCGCTCCTGGATGATGCTGATGTTGTACTATCGTGCCATGGCACTCTCTCGCACAGACGCCCTCTGCACCAAGCTGTTGTTACTCGCACACACACACACGCACCCGGCTCGACATCAACATGCGGGCTGCGCATGCAGCCTTACTAGCCGAGCCTTGGTGCTCGAGGCCTTGTGCTTCGACTTCTCTTGTGGTGCTTCCAGATTTAATTCTGATTTTTTTTTTGGGTGTGACTTTAAAATTAATTCTAAATTTATTTTAGAACTAATTTAAGCACTATTGAAAATAAAACATGTCCAACTTAGTTATATTCAATTTTTAGTGCGCTAACCAAAATTAATTCAAGAGCCATTCTTTAAATTATTCTCACAGTTAATGCTACAAAAATTGGGGGATATTCTCACAATTAATTTAACCAACATAAATTAATAATGAGATTTGACAAAAATAGTTGAATAAATAATCATTCATCCAATGAAAAGAAAATAAATAAAAATTTATCCAACACTCACTTGTACATATTTGAATATTGTAATCTTCTAATTTGAAGAATAATAATTTTCAAGCACAAATGTGAACATTTTAAGATTTTAATCAACTCAAAATGATTAAAACCAACAATTTGTTCATTGTGGATTTTAGAAAATTAAGATTCAACCAAATAAACAAATAAAGATTGAATCTTTAACATTTTAGGGGCTTCAAAAATACATTTTCACCATAAACATTCATACTCTAAGCAATTAATTTGCAAAAATGTGAAATTGCATCAGCCCGAGGCTCTTATACCGTTGTTGGGTTTTGCAGTGTTCGACACCGCGCGGAAACAAAGCTCGATAATCGGATCGCATGCATAATAATTACAACATAAATAAAAGCATGCAAATAAACATAAACATAAGAGAAGAGAGATAAAGAATGCTCACCCTTGAAGCGTGCTTCGCTCAACCGTTGAGCTCGGACATTAAAGCTTCAAGTTCCGCAAGTGCGAGAACCTCCAACGGCTCACACCCTTGCTACCGAACCGTAACCAGTCCCTACCTCGAAGATTAGGCGAGGCTAGACCAAAAATAACTTAGAGTTTACGAACAAAGGTTTTCTCGCTTTTGGAGATCCCTTAGAGTTCACCAACTTAAGTGAAATTCCCAATACCCAATGATGGGTATTTATAGGGAAATGGCCCCAAAAATTCCCATCATCTTTCAATGTAGGGTAGTTGGTAAAATGAAAAAATAAGCAATTAATTTAATTCAAAATTAAATTAAATAAGCTATGCTATAGTCAAATGACAAGTGTCAACATGAGGGAGGGAGTAGGTAAGGACAATAAACCCATCCTTGGAGAGCAAGCATAAACCCAACAATCACACACTTGGAAAACACAAGGAAGACCGGACTCACGCCTTAGGCTCCAAGGCTCGCCCAGCTGGCGGCCCTACCCTTGGCTAGGCCTGTTAGCACGCCCTAAGCCTACGCGAGGTAGCAGGCTGCTGCTAGGCCTGCTCGCGTGCTTGCGGGCTGTGGCTAGCACTGTTAGCATCGACCTGCTTGAATGCTTGCGGGCTGATGCTAGCACTGCTAGCTCGCCCAGAATAGCCACGCTTGCTAGGGCCTCGTGCTTCTAGCTAGCTAGCTAGCTTAGCTCGGCCAGCATGCCCGGCCAGCGCACATGCGTGGTTGCTGGGCCTGCTGCCGAGGATAGTCCATGGCTAACATGGTTGCTAGCTAATGTGGCCTAGTCCTTGGTTGGCTAAGCCAATCCGAGGCTAAGTCTGATAACTTGTCATTTGACTTATTTTCTCATCTTTTGGATTTCTTGAAACAAATTCACGTTCGATGCTCGGCTTTGACGCTCTAAGCTC